GCTTAATTATTACAAGCACGAAAAAGAAAAGCAACTCCAGCGTGACTTGCATCTTTTATACGAGCTGGAATGCAAAAATCCTGGCTACGGAACAAAAGACATAGAGTACATAAAAGCTCAGCTTGACAGTCTTTATCAGGAACGGTACGCGGGCGCGGTCGTGCGGTCGAGGGCAGAAAAGTTTCTCTTGGGAGAGCAACCCACAAAGAAGGCGTTGGAAGACGAAAAGAGACACGCACTGAGTAAGGAAATACTAGAGATAGAGCACAGAAACAGAATCGTCACTGATAAGGAGGAGATCGAACGCGTCTTTCTTGATCACTATCGAGCACTGCTAAGCTGTCCCGCATTCGCAGACGATACCAAGGGTCTTGCAAAATTGATAACGTTACTACCGCGACTGAGTGAAGACTGTGCTGAAACCCTTGAAGAACCGATTAGTGTGCAAGAAATTGTAAATGCTGTGGACGCTCTCCCACAAGGAAAAACACCGGGACCCGACGGGATAATCGCTGAGTTTTATAAAGTGCACAAGAACGAGATTTGTCTCGTGCTGCATGAAGTTTTTCAAGAGGCCTACAAGGCAAACGCGCTCCCGCCTTCGTTTCTACGGGCACACACGGTGTTTATTCCAAAAGAAATGGACAACAACCAACGACGCTGCGTGAAAGGGTACCGCCCGATAACATTGTGTAATGTGGACTACAAGATATTCGCAAAAGTACTGGCAAACAGAATGCAATCTATTATTTGTGAAGTAGTCGGGGAACATCAAACATGTGGGATAAGGGGTAGAGCAATCCAGAGCAATATTCACGTGGCCCGAAGTGTGTTAGATTGTGTGTCTGGAAGAGGCGACCAAGTTGCAATGTTGCAAATTGATTTAGAGAAAGCGTTTGACCGCGTTCAGCATGATGTCCTTTTCAAGATACTGGCGCATGTAGGCGTTGGGAAGATAATATTACAAGGCGTTAAGATGTCGTACACCAACTGCTATACGAGTTTGGTGCTTAACAATAACGTGACGGAAAGTATACCAGTCCATTCTTCTGTGAGGCAAGGGTGCCCGCTGTCCCCCTTACTTTTTTCTTTGTACCTCGAACCACTGTGTCAGAGCATAATCCAAAGTTCAAATGTCCGAGGATATATCCTGCACAGCGTTGAAACCAAAGTCTTGGCTTATGCGGATGACGTTGCGTTTTTCTGCACTGATAAAACGAGTGTAAGCCACGCCTTGCGGTTGACGCACACTTTCTGCAAAGCCACGGGTGCCTCGGTGAACCTGCAAAAGTGCAGGGGCTTCTGGCACGGAACGTGGGCGAGCACGCCCGAAGTTTTCGAGGACATCCATTGGAGCTGCACTCCATGCAACTACCTCGGTGTGCCACTGGAGAGCCACAGAAACAGCACGACCTATTGGTCAACTGTAGCAGCAGATATCGACAAGCGCTCCAAGCGCTGGATCCACCGAGATCTGTCGATTTTTACGAGAGCAACTATATGCAACGTTTTTTTGATTGCCAAGCTTTGGTATGTGCTACAAGTTCTACACTGTGCAAGGAGCAATATACAAAAGTTTCACCGTGTCTTTGCGGTTTTCATATGGACTTCAACTTGGGAGCCTATGCGACGGGAAAACCTTTTCCGTAGTGTCGCAGACGGGGGTGTGGGCCTGCCCCACTTATTCGTTAGACAGTTGGTATCACGATTTCTTTTTTTAAGAGACCAGGAAGTCCCTTTTATTCGCGAAGTCATCCAAAACCAGCTGGCATCCTTTATCCCCACTTTTGTTGTGTCAACCGTTGAATATCACCCACCAAGACTGGTGGGATACCTGAAAGAGGTTGTTGACGCCTTTAATTTGCTAGCAGTCCGTTTTTCTCGGGAGTACCTCGCAACTGTCTCGAGGAAAAAACTAACACGGGATCTTGTTGATATTCTCTTCCCAACGCCAATATACCGAGTCTTGTACAAAAATCACCCTGGGCAGGATGTGCTGTGTCGTGTAAAAAAGATGGGAATTCCTCCTAGGATCAAAACATTCTTCTTCAAATTACATTGTTCTATTTTACCCACCAAGGTATGGTTGCAGGAGAAGGGTATCTTTGTTCCATGGACTGTAAACTGCTTATTGTGTAAGGAGCCCGAAACTGTTGAGCACATTTTTATCAACTGCTGGGACGCAATTTTTTTTTGGGATGTGTTGCAGCGAACTTTGCGCAAGAGCCTAGATATTACACCGCATTCCATTCGTTTTCTGCCCGTAACGCCAGGGGACACCGTTCCGTATGACCTCATTATGCTCCTTAGTTTATACAGCATGTGGAAATCCCGAATGGACGTGCGAAATGCCGTTCAGACCCCGAAGTCTGTGCATTGTTATTTCATTCAACTGGTGGCACAAGTCACCAGCGTGTACGAAGGTCGCGACACAAAGCCCGATTGGGTACCATTGTTTAACAAATTGTTACAGATGAAAGAACTGTAGTGATAAATGAGGGACCTATTTTTGTAGTGCGATATTTTTGTGTGCTCTGACTCTCCGTTTTTGTTTCCCATGAAATAAAGAAAAAAAAAAAAAAAGCCCCAGTAGCTTAGCGGAAAAGACGTCCGGTTCACACGCGGTAGGACCGGGTTCGATTCCCCGTGAATTGTTTATTTTTTTTTCAAACATTTTCCGATGTTTACACATCTTTTTCTTTTTTTTACAATCATCACTGAAGAAACGAACAAAAAAATAACAAACAAATGTTGTGGACGATGCTTCGCTAAACTAAACGGTATGGGATTTCCGTTTTGACACCTGCGAACTCAATGTAATCACTTTCCACAAAATGCAAGGAGCATATAAATCAGGTAGCGTCCGCTTTCCGAGGTGCCCCTAAATGTTCTACAGGAATTGCAGCCAGCCATTGGTCCCGATCCCGTTGATCTTTCGGAAACTCTGTCGCACAATGCCACTTCTGTTTCGGAAGCGGGACATGTGAGCCAGCTCTTCACGCAACATCTTGGGTGTATTCTTTTCGGAGCCGATCATGGAAATTCACCACGGGCACTCACCACTCATCTCCAACTCCTCAATGTACAAAACAACTCATCTTGGAGTACAGAACAACGAGCGGAACAAACATAACTGCAAAAGAATCACACGGCGAGCAGTTCCCGCACGCCGCATCGCACGCCGTGTCGTCTGCTACAGAGAGGAGAAAAAAAAAAAAAAGCACGGTCGGGTGTAGCCACGTGACTTCCGCCACTCACTCTCTTCTCTCCACTTTTCCGATCTCCGTCGGGTTTCGGTTTCGGTTTCGAGCAGTTGCGTCTTTTGGCTTTATTAAAAAAAATACGCTACTCTGTTGCAAAATATTAATTGGGTAGTCCTCCGACACCATAATGAAGCGCCTGGCAAAAAATAAAAAAAATTTTTTTGGGGGGTGTCAGTGTCCCTTTAAAGGGACACTGACAGGGTATTTATGCTCGCCGAGGTTTTTAGTTGTACGTGACATATAGGAGCTCAACTACCCAGAACAGAATTTGCGGCTCGAAATTCGGTTTCTTTCCGCCCGAAAACCGCCGATCAAGAATTGGCCGGTTCGAGTCTCGCTCACTCTCTTTTTCGCGGTCACGGGCCGTTTTCTAAGGTATCGATGCGACCACCAAATTTAATCAAAGTCGTGGGTCACTGAAGGCACACGCTAAATATTAAAAATAGAAAAAAATATGAAACCCATTTTTTGTGGCTTCTAAAAAGCTGTAAATACGTTGATTGAAAAAAAAAAGTTCCACAGACAACCGGAAGCATTCTGTGCGTTCGTCGTTTCGCGTATCGTGGGACTCGCGGGAACGGCGATGGCAGCGGACGACGGGCGTGGGACCTCTATTTCAGAACTGTCGTTCGCGGTACCGGCGAATTCTGTCTACCGTTAAAAAAGAAATTTGGGACTGATCAAAAGAATTGGTATTCATCCTGTACGACACGCCCGGCCACCAAGCCGATTTGCACGAAGACGTCGCCGAGCCGTCGCTCCCTTCTCGTGGCTGAAGACAACGCTCGCGCAAACGTCAAGTACGACGTGTCTACTTCGAGTTGAATATGCACGCGTACGATTTCTTTACTAGGTGCGAATGTCCCCAAAGCGTGGTGCTTCCCGACTTCGACCCGGGAGTGCTTTTGCTAGAGAAAAATCGACAGCAAACTTTCCAAGTTACAGTTTACCGGCTGAATTATTACTATGGAAAGAGAACTACCAGAAACCGGATGCTCCAGTAGCTCAGTGGGAAAGACGTCCGCTTCAGACGCGTTGGGACCAAGTTCGATCCCCCGTGATTTTTTTTTTTTTCAAACATTTTTTGATGTTTACATATCTTTTTCTTTTTTTTTACAATCATCACTTAAGAAACGAACAAAAAAATAACAAACAAATGTTGTGGACGATACTTTGCTGAACTAAACGGTATGGAATTTCCGTTCTGACACCTGCGAACTCAATGTAATCACTTTCCACAACATGCAAGGAGCATATAAATCAGGTAGCGTCCGCTTTCCGAGGTGCCCGTAAATGTTCTACAGGAATTGCAGCCAGCCATTGGTCCCGATCCCGTTGATCTTTCGGAAACTCTGTCGCACAATGCCACTTTTTTTCGGATGCAGGACATGTGAGCCAGCTCTTCACGCAACATCTTGGGTTTATTCTTTTCGGAGCCGATCATGGAAATTCACCACGGGCACTCACTACTCATCTCCAACTCCTCAATGTACAAAACAACTCATCTTGGAGTACAGAACAACGAGCGGAACAGACATAACTGCAAAAGAATCGCACGGCAAGCAGTTCCCGCACGCCGCATCGCACGCCGTGTCGTCTGCTACCAAAGGGGACAGAAAAAAAAACAAAAACGCACGGTCGGGTGCATACCCGCTGGGCAGTCAAGTTTTGCCTGACACGTCGCGCCATCTAGTATGAAATATTTACAACACTGAGTCGGCTCCCTCGCCCTTTTTTGTTTTGCTCACGTACTGCGACGTACTGCGCAATACGGCTCGCCTTGCTAGTTCTGTTGGATTACTGCGTCGGTTCTGACTCTATATTTTATGGTTAGAACGCTGTCAACTGTACCGTTTAATCCCGCATGGCTCCGCCGAAGAGCAAACATTCGAAGGCATCGAAGTGTCGGTACTGTTGCGTGAAAGACTGCCACCAGCGTGAAGGCCTAGCGGGCGTGAAGCTCCACAGGTTCCCATCGAGGCCGTGGGAAAAAGAACGCCGTGGAAGATGGATAAATGCCGTAAGACGCGTCAAGTAAGTGTTCCAGTTACATATCGTCATTTGAGGTGTATCTGGTTTAATGTTGGCGATTGGTGCGCTTGAAGCGCTGCCCTAGGCTCGATCGTTCGATGCGACGACTCCGTGGGTGTCCAAACAGGACACTACAAAACGCACCACTCCGACAAATCGTGAAAATTGAAGCGGACGCGCCCGCTTCAAGCCCGCTTCAATTTTCACGATTTGTCGGAGTCGTGCGTTTTGTAGTGTCCTGTTTGGACACCCCTTTCAGCGGAGCCAGGTTGACGTGCGCGTAATTGTTAGCTGTGTCGTTTACCGGCTGCGTACTTCAAGTTGCTCCGCGGACACTTTTTATTTGAACGATGTTTTAAGGGCTGCGCTAATATTTCAGACAGTACTCGCTTAAGCAGCGGCTCGTAAAAAGTTTTGCCGGTACCAGTGCGCTGAGAAAGCTCCTTCGCGAGGCCGCGCTTTCCGATTCCCGAACCGGCTACCGTTTTAATTCTAGTAGTAATGTGAATTTAATTCATAACTGCATACTGTCTAATGTTGGTGAGCTGCTTTGGGCATGTGTCTGTGAAATGTCGTTTGAGCAGCTATCAGCGAGGTGATTTAAATCGCTGCTCATAGTATAACTAAGTGCTTTTAAACAGTAATGTGGCCTTGGGGACTGACCCTGCTTGGTAGGTCCTGATTTACCGCGGCTATGATTTCACTGAGGGGTAAAGAACCCTAAACCATATTAAATAAAGATAGGCATGAAGCACTAGTAAAACTGGTAGCTTACATGCCTTGCTGCATTCTACATGCAAGTCGGGTTTGATCCTAATTTTTTACTCGTACGCTTCAGTGATGATGGCTCGGACTGGATGCCCAGCAAGAACTCCAGAATATGCTCGGACCATTTCGTGAACAACGAGCCAAGCAACATCGAGAGCCACCCCGGTTATATCCCAACGCAATTTCCACTTGTGTACAAGAAGCGGAATTCGGATCCCGATGCGCAAGTCAGGAGGTTTGGCAGGTAAATGTTTACTCAACTTATTTCTATTTGGACAATGAGTTTGTGTAGAGTGCCATCCAATAGTACCGCAAGTGGCTGCTTTTGCCTAAAGCGTCACAAAAGTATGCTTCTCCCTTGAGTGAAATTAGCAGGAATGTAGATTTTGGTTGTGACATATTTCCAGGTGGAGGGAGAGAGCAGCTGGTGCAGCTACTTCATGTCCACCATCTCTGGGACCACAACAGTCAGGTACCACAAGCCCAGTACCTGATGAGCACAATTTGGATTGCAGCGAAAGCCCGGAACATGGACTACTGCCCCCCTGTCAAGCTGTTGAACTTCATGAGAAGTGTTCAGTGGTAAGTTATGAGTAGGGTGTGTACTTTCCGGTGTTTATTTGTGAGAAAAATGAGCGGATGTTTTTCGGTGTTTATTTATTTTCAAAACACCGTTGTATTTCGGTGGAACGTCTCACGACGAGGCTAAAATCAGTGATTATCGGTGGAAAAATGTGATTGATCACAGGCAGAGAGTTCCAATTTTACTCACATATTTTATGCACTTCTTCTCTAGGAAGCATCTATTTCTCACACTTGGTTGTTATAGTAGATGCAAGCATACTTCAAGAGGCTTGCATCCTTCATGGCAGCACGTTTCTTGCGGTTCACAACCCGCAATTCTGAAAACGCACGCTCCTGTACGACACGGATGTTGGCAATGTCTTCCAGGAACCACAGCAATCTCTCAATACATGGCTTGCACCGACATCACTTGGCCAGACACAATGGGGAAAGGGCACGTGAGAGCCTACCCTCCACTGCAATAATTTTTCCCCAAAAGGGGGCCATGGGAGACACAATAGAGGAAAGGCGTGTGAGAGCTTAGCTTCCACTGCGTTTACTAGAGCGCTTTTGACCCCAGAAAGAAGGGCGGACTGACGCCATGTGCAAGCCATGTATAAACACTGGAAGGATGCAGGATCCACGAGATAACACGTTTGACGAACCTCTACGGGGAAACGGTTTCGCTAGGTCGGAATTATGCCACGACCGGTTTTTTCGGTTTTAACCAACGGATGTTTATCGGTGTTTTTCGGTTAAAACCGGAAAATACACACCCTAGTTATGAGTAAGGTTCCGTGTTTTCGGTATATACCGATAAAAACCGAAACATAGCCCCCCAAAGAGTCTTTCTAGAAATCGGTGAAAACCGAAAAACACTGAACTGAAGCCTCTGCTTGAATAAGTAAAACCCTAGTTTTACAGGAACCTTCATCAGCAGCTTTATCTGCGTAGACCGCAAAAACTGACTGCACTGAACTGTCCGAGAGGTGGCTTCTTTCTTTGGAAATTGTTTCTAGAAGTGCAATTTACCAATAAATTGCGGGTATAGAGTTCTGTTTTCGAGAAACACTGTAGATATGCCTTCAATCTTACAACATAAACCCCGATAAACCCCTATTTCTGGCCGACACTAAAAAGAAACACAGAAAACAAAGAACCCTAATTATGAGCCAACTTGCAAATTATAAAAATTTTAAAAAAGCATGTTAGTTTTGGGCTGTTTGCTGAGCACTATAGCTTTCATTGACAGCCTGACTAAGTCCTACCACTACTGCTTTTACAGGAGACCCAGACGGACAGCTTTGGAGCTTACTGTAAGAGCTTCTCAGTGTACACATGCTCCCTACAAGGCGGGGAGGGCTGTACACAGATCACACATCGTGAGGTCTACGACGCTGAGGTGCAGCATAAGCCACAAGTATCTTCAAGGCCCTCAGGTCCCAACGAGAGGACAAGCTTTTTTGGAGGGTATGAGAGTATCCAGCATTCCGAGGATGCTTTGCGGGACATTTGTAATGTGAGCATGCAAGTGTTTTCCCTACTTTTGAGCATGCTGCCCCTTCTTCCTGAGCGCAGCTGCGATGTCTCTCTTCCGAACAGGTTGCTGTTGTTTCTGGTAAAACTGAAACTGGGACTGAGGTACACCGCACTTGGCGTCTTGTTTGACATAGACAGGACGACTGCATCACGCCACTTTCGGGCAGTGTTGACAACCTTGACTGCTGCGACACGCAACTGGATTTTTCGGCCTCCGTCGAGTATTATAAGAGCAACCTTGCCGGATTGCTTCAAGGCAAACTATCCGGAGTGCAGGATGATAATCGACTGCACTGAAGTCAGGACAGAGGAACCAAGTAGCGTAGGTCAGCAGCGTGTGCTCTACTCAAGCTATAAGAGTGGGTACACGCTGAAGTTTTTGGTGGCGATTACACCCAACGGGGTGATTTGTTTTTGTTCAAAGGCCTACGGAGGCCGCTGTTCGGACACCCACGTAACAGTGGATTCCGGCTTCCTGGGTGTGGTACAGCCTGGGGATGTTATTTTAGCAGACAAAGGGTTCCCAGGCATCAAGGCAGGTCTGAAGGACACCGATGCTGTACTGGTGATGCCCCCTTTCCTTTCTGGGAATGGGCAGTTTAGTGAACAGGAAGTGCAGGATACATACAACATTGCGCAGGTACGCATTCATGTGGAGCGAATGATCCAAAGGATCAAGGTTTATAACATCCTCAAAATGACAGTGCCCATAACTCTAATCCCATTGATGGATGATGTGTTCCATATGTGTTCTGTGCTTGCAAACTTGCAGCCTGCAATCATCAAGCCGTATGACTAAACTTCGCATGTAGGCCATTCCATTGAGCTTAGGTTTTCAAACTGCATTCCTAGGGACCCTTGGATTTTTCGGTGCACCCTCGGAGGTTCCCTGCCCTCCCCAACTTCCACAATCGTCCCTCCCACCGAGTAAAATATTTTTCACACTACAAGTACTATTTCACCAGAACCAAGCCATCCATTGATGCATAACTGTGCACCAAAATTTGGGAGTTTTGCATGCCAAACCAACGACGGGCATCTGGCACGCCCAAGCGGAGGACTGAGGATTAATTTGGACCACCTGGGGATTTTTTGACGTGCAACCGAAAGCTCGGTTACACGGCGCCTTCTCCGCAATAAGCCTCTGTCAGATTGCGGGCACCTCGGCCGTTATTCGAACCCGCTGCATGGGTGTCCGTAGGCAGGCGCTCTCACCTTGGAGCCACCGAGGCGGCTATAAGTATGCACCAAACATTGGTTATGTAGTGTGTGTATAGTATTGTTTCATGGGCACAATCAGGCTATCTACCAAGTTGGTTCTTTCAAATTCCCTGACTTTTCCGGGGGTTTTCCTGACTATCTTGATCAAATTCCTTGACTCCTTCGGTCAAGGACAACTTTTAGGGCAATATTATTCAGCCCTGCCATGCAGATACGTGTTTGTCTCGTTTCAGTCCACACTGCCATACCCTTTCACTGGCCATTTTCCCTGATTTAGCCAATGTTTTGACAATTTCTCTAATAATTCATTGATATTTCCAGACAGTGCGAATTTCTGACAATTCCAGGTCTTCCAGGTTGGTTTGCCTCAATTATCACTTAGGAAATATTCAAGTTCTCTGGGACTGGAAAGTTTGAAAACACTTGGCATGGAGTGGCCACAATATGAAATGTAAAGTAGACTGTATGATACAAGCAGCATAAGCACGACTCAAGCACTTTGCTCAGCTAGGGTATTGATGGGTGACAAACTTGACTGCTTAAAGAGATACTACAACGAAATTTTGCGCTCATTTTTTGGTCTATATGCGTTGGAAGGAGCAGTATCACATCGAACACACCAATATCTTCTTAAAAAAGTCACGAAAAGGAATTTTAAAAACAAATTAAACGATTAGTAAAGAGCACCTGGTGGATGTCGCTAAAGCCTCATTCGTAATGCCCATCTAGGAACCTTGACAGCTAGTGACGGTTACTGTCTCGCCTCCGGACTGTCTCGTCATCGGCCACGACAAGAGAAGAGCTGAAGGAGGAACTCCCCTCTTCCCGAGAATTCCATTTGTGTGTCCCAAAAGTCGCTATTGTCCCCCTTCAAGATTATAGAAGATTAACCCGTCACTCAAAATTCGTACAAAAGCAGCTGCTTGGGTGGCTGGAATGACTAGGCATTCCTCTCGATGTCAGCCTCGCCGTAGCTTTGCTCGTCCCAAGACGACCTATGTCACATGCTCTGCGCTGGCTGTTTCCGCTGGGGATCTGATGCAGTCGTCCTGTCTATGTCTCCAAGTGCTTGCCAGAGTGGGCCAGGCTCAAAATAGAAACGTGCGATTGTCATTCACGGATATTGTGGATCATATTCAACCTAGTTTTGACCACGACTGGTATATTTCAAATTTGGTTGAAGAATCCCTTTAAAGGGCAAGTCTCTGTGTTGTTTCCACCACACTAGTTTTGCCTGATAGCCATTCAATACCAAGAGAGGAAGAAAAAACTGTTAACTTGTTTGCATTAGTTGTTTCGCACTCTGAGCGCTTGGTCGTTCTAATGTACTTGCAGGGGTGTGTTTTCATTCGCTCTTCTGCGGTGCTGTGCTTGCCACTGAATCTGACACGAGGTGCCGCCTTGTTTAGCAGTTTATCAGCTGTGGCGTGAGGTGCCATTGGTGACGAACTTCTGCTGCGACGCAACGGCCAGAGTTAGTGCTTGTGGCTTTGTGGCTCATATCGCTGGCCAGTAGTGAGTCCGTTTTTTGAATGCGGTGAGTTCTTGCTCTTTTCATATTGCGATAGTCACGGCAAGGCAACTTGAACAGTAAGCTAATTTTGTTTGAAAGGCTGCTCAGGCGATACCAATCGATACGCGCCGTGAAAGTAGAAGCACTCTCTTTAGTCGCAGCACCTCATGCTAGATTCTGCGGCAAGCAACACGTCGCAGAAGAGCGGAAAAACACTCATCCAGAGAATGGTTGGATTATGAAGAATGTTTGCGTTTTCAGTCATGAGAATTCATCCTGTGGAGATCGCAGGAGTAGCATAAAGGTCCAATGGTGGTGTAGCTCATTTTGTCCGAGATGGTACACCTGCCCCCATTGCATTTTTGAAGCCAGCTCTTCCTCAGTGCCTGTGTAAGTACTTTTTAGTAGATAACTTCGGCCATACACTGCTCTTACGAGGCCTCCCTGTGTGGCATGTCATGTCTTGCTGTACAAGTTGCGAAGATATTTCATAGCAAAGTTGCATTTTTCTACGCCTTAGAAGTTGGAACTCGAGCAAATTGAAGCAGGGGTACAACTTTTTATTTCACTGGTTCCTTGAATGCAGTACATGTTGAATGCAGTACATGCAGTGTCTTATGTGGAAATTTCTGAAAATGGTCTATTTAGGACTGGTACTTGCGTGCAAGGGCTGGCAAATACCAATCGAAATAAAAGTCTTGCAGAGTTGGGATGGCGGTGTCCAGGAAGTCGTCATTTCTGGTGACGAGCAGGGTGACATTATCGACACTGGTGTATACAAAAAAGAAACATTCCTCCAAATGCAGAATATACATCAACACCTGCACCTGCGTGTAGTAACGGTGTGATTGTTTCAGACATAGCTTGCCGTCGACATATACTAAGTAGCTGACAAATGTCACCTTCCGGGTGATATCAACGATAAGGCTGTTCCTTATGCTGCTAGGACACTTGATCTCCAAAAGCACGGTGCCAGTGGTCAGTCCGAAGAGCCCGTCAGCACTCCCGCAGAGCCAGGGCTTACCATTATGGACAAGCAGGCCCACCTAAAATGAGAAAAGTGAAATACTGAGCTGAAGGATTCATCTTTTTGCAAATTCATTTGCTTGCATGCCAATCATTTTATGACATGGTTAAACCTGTTTATCACAAAACCTTTCAAAATAACCAATATCTTCAAATTCATGCAGTTTAAATGTGCAGATGAAAGGCCACAGCAAAAACTTTTAAAATCTGCAAGTAGAAGACGTCGAATTGTGAATGATACACTATCACTTCTCAAGCGTAGATGAGATAAACATGATGGAATATTTCCTTGGGGCATCTGCATGACATACCTCAGTGACATGGCCCCGAACCTTTCCTTCAAACAATCGCCGTGCCTTCGGCTCAGTCCGCAAGCCTGTGCAAAAAAGTTGGTGTTAGCTTTCGGAACACTAACAACACAATAAATAAGGCTACCATAGGATGTTGCTTCGCTTGTAAAGCTTTCCTCGTTCATCAGGCTTGAGACGAGCTCCTGTGGGGTCTTTTTGGTTCGGAGGATAGTATGCGCCTTTGAACTTGAAATCCGCATTTTGCGCTCTTGGTACCACCTGTTGGTGCAGGAGCATCAGTGTTAATCGGAGAGACAGTTTGCAGCTCTTGTGAAACAAAGTGTTAATAGTGCCTGATCTTCAGTGCCGTGCCCATGGTAGTGACCCAGGATGATATTGTGCAATAAAAATACACTTTCAAAGCAAGCATAAAGTGTGTCGTTATTCAACGGTCTCACGTCTGTCTGAAGACGGATTTTTTAAAGTTTCGGCATTGAATTATCAGTGCCTACTTTTGTGGGAGACGACATGAAAGAACAGACCTCACTTTAAAAGCATGGTTCAAGTTTTGGCCCTTGCAACAAGTCATACCTCTGGAAAGTACTCCAAACAGGTGTGTTTACAACATGGGTAGCTACTTCCTCAACTGGTGACCCAAAGAGGTAAGAGATCTCACCGTGCACACTTGGATTGTGCCAGCGTCGCCATGCAGAGACTCAGAATGTCGGAACATGCAACTCTTCTTTGAAAGAAGCTTCTCTCAGCATCTGTGAGTTGGTGTAAGCAGTCCCCCAGCTCCTGTCCACACGAAGGCTCAAGCGGAACGTTCTGTAGAAGTTCTTCCACCTCGGACCGCTGCACATTGTCCACCACAAGGTCTAGAATGTCATCCATGGTCTGAGAGCACTCCAATTCCACCTGGTTTTTGTCCATCATTCGCAAAATGTCGGTGAATGGAGTTTCGATGTCTGGAAAGTGGCGAAGGATGTAGCTGGGAGGCATCTCTCGTGGTTGTTGCTTCCTCACGGTGTTGCTGCGGTTTCCTAAGAAAGTAACATTGCACATCATTCACTCGTAAATATGAGCTTGCTGATAATACAAATAAAGATCACAGCACCTAGGATTTCATGCAGACCAGTGCTCTAACTCATAAAAAAAAAGAAATTCAGTCCACTTCAGCACAATGTCAATCAACTTTTGAAAGATAGTTCGTGCTAGTCTCCCTCAATTATTTTCTAAGGCCACTAACGTTTGCAAGCCCATAATTTGCACGAATTGAGTAATGCGCGCGGTCCAAAATGCTGGATTTGCGAAGAATTGGTGTAGCGAAAATCAAGAGTGGGGCGTCGACTTGCGCGATAACTTGTACGGCTCGACGCTTTTGTCACGCGCGGGCGTTGACGCCACGTTAACGCTGCAACTTGTGGTGGTAGTCCTACCTCCAAAGAGATCGGCTATCGACGCCTTGTCATCCAATTTCGGCTTTTTCGAGGGCTTCCCCCACGCCTGAGGCAAGCTGGTACACGCGGCAACTTCGTGTCTGTTGACGTAGTGCACAACAGCGGCGCTGTGTTTGCACTCACCGAGGACGCCGTACCGGCAGGTGCACGACCCGGTGATGATCTTCCGGGACTGTGGGTTTAACTGCGCAAGTAAAACAATAATTATTAGGCTTTTGTCTATACGATTCTCAGTGAAGTATATTTTTATAACAGCTCGCACTCACCCGGATTGTGACGTCGTACACGTGCTTCCCCTGTTGGGAGTGACACTTGGCCGTAATGTCTACGCCGTCCTCTTCTCGCACAGCGTAGACGTGATTATTCTCAAAAAGTCTGTGTCCCTTCTCAAGCGCCTGGTCACGAAAAAACGAGCCGACATCCTCAATATCTCTGAACCCGCAAAACAAGACCAGGGGCGGCATTTTCGGACGCGTACTTGGGTATCATAGCCTGGTGCGTCGCGTGCTGCGTCGTCGATTGGAGCCGTCTCAGTGTTTTCCCAACCTGCCACACTGGCGCTGGCGGTCAATCGACGGTGGCGCGCTCTGTCCACTACCCAGCGGGTATAGAGGTTGGGTGTAGCCACGTGACTTCGGCCAGTCACTCTCTTCTCTCCACTTCTCCGACCTCCGTCGTGTTTTGGTTTCGGTTTCGAGCAGTTGCGTCTTTTGGCTTTATTAAAAAAAATACGCTACTCTGTTGCAAAATATTAATTGGGTAGTCCTCCGACACCATAATAAAGCGCCTGGCAAAAAATAAAAAATTTTTTTTGGGGGGTGTCAGTGTCCCTTTAAAGTTCGCTAACCGTCACTTTCGCACACGAAAGTGACGGCCTGATGATGTATGTAGCTATCCCTTTGGAACGGGGGGTAACGTACTAATCGTGTCCAAGCTGGTGGGCTCCTTTGTGTAGCGCTTCATGTCATTCTCTTTTTTTCCACCAAGTTGCCAGCCGTTGTTTTGTTTTGCGGACCACCCATCTCTCCGCGTAGGGTGTGCTCCGGAGTCGGCCGCCTCTTGAAATCCCAGTGCTTCCGCTAGTGATGGCGCTTGTGCAGATTGTGAAGTTGTAGTGACTGTAGCTCTATAGCCTCCGTGCACACTCACCGGTGGCGTCGCCTGCCGTCCACTGTCGTGGCTGGATGCTTGGTCGGCTTGGGTGTCGGCTAGCTCTCATTGTGGCGTCAGGGCCGGGCAGTAGAAGACCAGGTGTATTATTGTTTCAGCTTCTTGATTACAGAGCCTACACTGTATGGTCATTATCGTCGGCTGTTGCTTTGCTTTGTTGTTCCTCTATTTAGCTCCCCTGCTAATTCACTGAAAGATGTTGGTAACGTGCTTGGAGAGCACTTCGAGAATGTTTCCAGCTCCCGAAATTATCGGACGGAATTTAAACGTTTTAAAGCAAGTGCTGACGTATACCCATGTCCGGTTGTAGCTCTGAGCAACACTCCTTTCACAATGCAAGAACTAGAGGTGGCTCTGGGGTCCAAGAAGAGGTCGGCCCTCTTCTGCCCGTGGGAGTGAAAAACCGAGCCCTGACGTTCAGGAGATGTAGTTCTAGCTTGCCCGTGTATAGCATACACAAGAGGGGAGAAAGAGGGCAGCCCCGTTTCAGGCTCCGTTTCACTTCCACCCTTCTGGACATCACGCCTCCGAACTCAACCGTGGCAGCTCCTCCGTCGTACAATCGTCGTATTAAGTTCGTCAATTGGCTGGGCATATCTCCATCTGTTGGTTCGGAATCACACTAACGGTTGCACCTTAAGGGCGTAGTATTGCTTCCTGCACCAATACGCAACCTTTGTGACGGTGGGGTCGTACTTGAACGGGCCGGCGATGCTGATTATCGTCCCGTCGATGCACCCGATGACGCCCGCAATCCTGCCAAGTAGTCGGAAGCCCCTTTCCAAGTCTACCATCTCGCTTGTCGTTTGGGGGATATTGCAAGTCGTGTTGCAAGTTGCGCCAGGGAACGGTGACAAGATAGAAAGGCAGGACAAGAGGTTTAACAAGGCGACCGGCTCAGAGCCGGGTACGTTCTAGCCACGGGCGCAAGGCACGAGTTCATGCGCACGAGCCGCGGAGCTCTATCTGCTCGGCCGCTCAGTGTAGCGCTATCCAACATCTCCCCCATACAGAAGAGTCAAAGTCGTTGGGGAGCCTTGACGCATCGGCCACTTCTCGTGTGTGAATGAAGATTGCCTTCACATTCTGTACGTGGCTCTTGAGCATCCTCGCTGTCAACGACTTCCGCCTCCCGGACATTTGCAGGAAAAGGAACAAGATGAGTTCGGTTACGTCGCACAACCCCGTTGTCAGTGTCTACGAAGTAAGACCTGGGTTCCTCTGCTGGTCTCTGCACTGTACCTTTCTGCTTGATGTCAGTGATCCAAACTTCATCTCCATTTAGGACTTCAGGCAGTGTGCGTACGCCATGCCGTCGATTGAAGTCTTTCTTCTGGTTTTCTCGGTATAGTTCTTCAAAATCGCGAAGTTTTCTCATGTCTGGCATGTGAGGCATGAGCATCTCGGGAACCATAAAGAGCTTGGTTCGTAAACGTCGACCCATAAGTAGTTCAGCGGGGCTGTAGCCGTTCTTCAGCGGAGTCGACCTGTAAGAGAGAAGGGTCAAGTATGGGTCTTTCGTTTTTTCCATTGATTTCTTGATGCATTTCACGGCTGCTTCCGCAAGTCCATTACTTTGATTAAAATATAGGCTTGAGGTGGTATGCTTGAACCCGTATTCTCGAGCAAATGTAGCGAAATCTGATGACGAGAACTGAGGCCCATTGTCGGACACTACCACCTCTGGAATGCCGTGGCGAGCGAAGATTGATTTGCAGTGGTTAATGACGGTAAGCGATGTGAGTTTCTCAAGTCGTGCTATCTCGGGGTACCTTGAGAAATAATCTGTCATGATCAACCACCAGTGGCTGTTGAAGTAGAAAAGATCCATTGCAACGCGCTGCCATGGTCGGTCAGGAAATTCCGTGTTTAGAAGCGGCATCTTGCGATTGCACGTGGTTTTGATGCATTCGTTGCATTGCTTTACTGTGGCAGTTATCCCTGCTGCTATTGTTGGCGACCAGACACAGTCCCTTGCTCTTGCTTGTGTTTTCGTGATGCCGAAGTGGCCTTCGTGAAGGAGGTGCATGATCTCTTTTCTGCACGAGACAGGAACGACGACACGGGCTGCATAGAGGAGCAAGTCGTCTTCTACGGTGAGCTGGTGTCGGTGCTCAAAGAAAGGTTTCAGGTCTTGTGGCAAGTCTCTTCTGGATGGCCACTCCTTTGAGCTTAGTTTTCGTAGCTGGTTACAGACTGTGTCCGATTTTTGGCTTTCTTTTAGCCATTGTAGGCAATGGTCCTTGACTGGGATAGCTTTGTTCAAGGAAAAGACAAAAGCTTCGACGTCTTTTTCAAGGTCTGTGTCCCCTGTCTGTTGTAGAGGTGCTCGGGAAAGTGTGTCAGCAGCTAGTAGGTCCTTCCCTGGTACATATTCTACGCTGTACTGGTAGCGCATCATCCTCATTTTCAGCCGCTGGAGTCTGAGTGTCAAGTCGTCAAGAGTTTTCGACATGAGGATGGGGACGAGCGGCTTGTGGTCTGTCTCCAGCTTGAACGTTTTTCCAACCAGGTAATCTTCGAACTTCCCGCATGCGCAGACTAAGGCAAGAGCCTCTTTTTCAATCTTCGCGTAGCGCTTTTCGGTGTCTGAGAGCAATCTTGAGGCGTATGCAATGACAGCGAACTTGCCATCTGTTTGTCGCTGCCGGATCAGTACTCCAAGTCCGAAGGAGGAAGCTTCTGCGCTGACGACTGTGTCCTTTCCGGGGTCGTATACGCCCAGTACGGGACGAGAAGATAGTACTGTCTTCCATTTGTCAAATGCTTGTTGCTGTGGCGAGTCCCAAAAAAAACTGCTGCTTCTTCGACAACAAGGATGAAAGTGGCTGAAGAACCTCTGAAAGGTTTGGCACGAAGCGGGCAAGGTACGTGGCCATACCCAGTACTCTTTGCAGCTCACTTTTGTTTGTCGGGCGTTTCATTTTCAAAATAGCTTCTACCTTCCTTTCATCGGGTCTGATGCAGTTGTAGTCTAGTTGATGGCCTAAGAACGTGAGCTTTTGGACGTTATATAGGCACTTGTTTTCGTTCAGCATCAATCCAGCTTTGGTTAATCGCTGCAGTACGGTGCGTAGCGTCTTGTTGTGTTCTTCTTCGGTTGAACCCCAGATGAGGATGTCATCCATGTCACAAACCACTCTGTTAATGCCATGCAAAAGACTAGACATCTGTTTTTGAAAGTGCTCTGGAGCAGACGATCTGCCGAAAGGTAGTCTGTTGAAGGAAAACCTCCCGAAGGGTGTAATGAAGGTGGTGAGCTTCCTGCTGCCTTCGTCCAGTGGAATTTGCAAAAATCCCGAATTAGCATCTAATTTTGAAAAAATCTTCGCGCCGTGCAGCAGTCCGAGTGTGTGCTCGACGGAAGGAATGGGATGCCATTCTCTCAGGACGTGATGGTTTAGACCAGTAAAGTCGACGCAGATTCTTACCGATCCGTTTGGCTTGAGAACGACTACCATGGGCTCACACCATTCGGTTGGTTCGTCGACAGGAGAGATGACACCGATTGTCTGCATTCGCTGTAGCTCCAACCTTGTTTTCTCGTACAAGGGTATCGGGATGCGGCGTGGAGAGTTGATACAAAATGGTTCCGCTCCATCGCGCAAGCGAATGCGGTGTTCTTTCTGCAGCTTGCCGAGACCTTGGAATAGTGAAGGAAATTCGACTTTTGGGATTACCTTCTGGGTGACGGCATTGACGAATGTAAATATCTGCAGATCATTGATGGCGGGCTTTCCGAGCAAGGACGTGTGGACATCGTGAAGCACGTAGACGTCTTGAATAGTTGTCCTGTCGCGGTAAGCGAGTTCGAGTCTTGCAACGCCCTTAGTTGCGAGAAGCTTTGCGTCGGGCCCGTAAAGTTGACGAGGTGCTTCTGAAAGCAGAGGCTGACGTTTGAGCATGTCGAATGTTGCTTGTGAAAGGACGGTTTCGTCGGCCCCAGTGTCGATTTTGAATTTTACGGGTTGGCCTTGAACCAGGATTGTAGTCTCCCATTCCGAAGTTTCGGAGGACTTGACTGCTCCTAAAAATCCTTGTTCGCTGTTGGTTTCAGGCGCTTCAACGAAGTCGACTCGTCGAGACCTGCAAACAGACGAATAATGTGCTTTTTTGTGGCAATTACGGCACACTTCCGACCGCGCTGGGCATTGGGCGCGTCCGTGCTGCTCTTTTCCGCACCAGCGACACGGTCTCTGAACGCCGCTCTTGCTTGAGCTTGGAGACGGCTTCACTTCTGTGTGAGGTCGTTCGTCGTTCGCGTGAGCAAATTTCGCCGAAGCCTTGACGAAACGTCTTTGGTTTGCTCCTTGTTGACGCGCCGCGGCGAC